TGCGCAGACTCTAATATGGGAGAACCGGGTTTGATTCCCCACTCCTCCACTTGCACCTGCCTGGATGACCTTGGGCAAGCCTTAGTTCTGATAAGAGCTGTTCTTGAAAAAGAGCCGTTTCTGTCAAGAGCTCTCTCAGCCCCACCTCCCTCGCAGGGTGTCTGTTGTGGGGTGGGGAAGGGAAAGGAGTTTGTAAGCCGCTCTGAGACACCTTTGGGTAGTGAAGGTCGGGGTATAAATCCAATCTCCTCTTCTTACAAAGGACAGGTGACAGTGGCACGTTACCAGAGAGAGAGAGAGAGAGAGAGAGAGAGAGAACCCTCTTCAGGTGTTGGGAAAACCCTGGAGGGCAGGGTGGAACAGGGCGTGAAGGTCTGAAGGCCGGAGCGGGCCCGTTCCATCACAGAGACCAACAAGATTTCCAGGGGATTAGCTTTCAAGAGGGAGCGCTCCCTTCTGTCGGATAAGGAAGCCTTATCCTGCTGCAGGGTTGCCCCTTTCTGGAAAGTCAGGGAAATGAAAATTGGTCAGGGAAAGTCAGGGAACTTGTGATTAAAATCTATTCCAGCAGTGGATTTTTGACCTGCCTGCTGCGAGAGCCTGATCTGTTCTTGTGGCAACTGGAATAGAGAAGTAGCAGGATACAAGTAGAACTCAATGATGCCCTTTCCCAACCATTTTAGATCGAACGTTTATATAATTTTTAGTGTACCTTTAAAACAATAACAAAAATGTTACGTCATTTGTTAGCATTCAGAGTTTACTTGAGTTGAAATTTGTATCTTGGTGTAAGTTTTGCTGCAATTGCAAAACAGGTGTTGCTGCAGTTAATGTTGAAAGAAGCTGATATTAAATCGCTTTGACAAATATTTTTGCAGTTGAGACTTGTGTAGTTGTAGAGTGGAACCTTCTCTTGCATTAATGCAATACGACTAGTGTTCCCTCTAAGCTGACTTAGTGTGAGCCAGCTCACAGTTTTTTAGCCTCCGGCTCACACATTCTTGTCTTAGCTCAGGAAGGAGGGCTCCGGAGCAAACTCATTTATGCAGGAGCCAAATCGCTCGCTCACCACTTTCATGCCAGCAGCTCACAAAGTAGAATTTTTGCTTACAAGACTCCACAGCTTAGAAGGAGCATTGACCTATTCATTTTTTAACTTGTGGTTATATTTGAATGGTAGACAGGGAAATCGACAAACGTTGGTCAGGGAAAGGAAAAATAAAATTCTAGTGGCAACCTTGTGCTGTCCTCAGGGCCCGTGGCCATCTTTGCAGTCGGGGTGACCTTCTTCCCCATCTCCTGCAATTGCAAGTATGGCTGTCAGTTCACCTGGTTCCCACCATTAATATCTTTGATGCACCAGGGAAAGCCTGTCCTGTTTATGCACCTCTTGTGAACCCACAGACGTGATTGTTCCACTTCTTTTTTAACATCATTCGTTTTTGAGCCTGGAGAGCTCCTGCTGTTCTGACTAGACATCAAGGACTTTGATGGACCCAGGGTCTGATATACTTTGTCGCTGGATCCTTGAACACCTTTTGTGGCAGCTAGATTTGAACCCAGTAACACCTTAGAGACCAATAAGGGTATAAGGTTTCAAGAGGAAGAGGAGGAGGAGATTGGATTTATACCCTGCCCTTCACTTGGAGTCTCAGAGCGGTTTACAAACTCCTTTCCCTTCCCACAACAGACACCCCCTGTGAGGTAGGTGGGGCTGCCTGAGAGAGCGCCAACAGAAACTGCTCTTTTTCAAGAATAGCTCTGAGAGAACTTGCCACTGACCCAAGGTCACCCAGCTGGCTGCATGTGGGGAATCAAACCTGGTTCTCCCAGATTAGAGTCCGCCCCTCTTAACTACTACAGACTGGCTCTCTGAGAGTTTTGACTGCAATATCCCAAAGATCTTGTGGGTCTCGAAGATGCTACGGGACTGGGATCTTTGGCAAGAGGGACGCTCTCCAGCTTCGGCGTGACCACTTATTGTTCTGAGGGTAGAAGGCCCCTGTGCCCTATAGCATATGAATTTATCAAGAGGTTCCTCAACGCCCTTCTTAATTCAGACTTCCTTTTCCTTCCACTGGCTGCGATCCGTGCAAAGGCATTTCCCGCTGTCCCAATAAAGCCGGCATAGTGCCTCACGCGGCGGCCTCCTCAGTCGGTCACTGCCGGCGCGTGCCCCAGAAAGGTTGTCTGAAACTAATTGAAATGTTAAACCTAATTTGAAAAATGGAGGCCGTCAGAGAAGTGCCAAGGAAAGGTCAGGAGTCGTACCCGGGGTTCCTGTTATCCTTAATGGGGAAGGACCGCTGGAACTCTTCAGTTACCCACATTACTCACGATACAGACGGGTTTAATTAGCAAGATCAGCTAAATGTCTGGGGCCTGTCAAAGGACTAGCAGTTTTCTCCTGGATGAATTATGGGCCGTTTTCTCAGTTTCCATCTGCCGCTGTTGGGTACTTAGGAAACAGCTTCAACCGCAAGCAGTCCCCCCCCCCAGTCTGAATCGGAGCGATGTGGACTCACAGGGACACGTGGTGTCATTAGATTTGGGTGGGTCACCGTCTTGGGCTGAAGCAATAGAACAGAGTTTAAGTCCAGTGGCACCCTGAAGACCAACAAAATTGAATTCTGGGTATAAGAGGCTTCCGTCACACACGCAAAGTAATCCACTTTCAATCCACTGCCAGTTCACACAGTAAAAATCCAGTTGGAAAGTGCACTGAAAGTGGATTATTTTGCGTGGGTGACCGCAGCCAAACTTTGTTCTATTGGGTGTAGCTGTTAGAGCATATCCTTGAGCACCACACCAGATCAGCAATTCGGAAACAAAAGTAATTGGGAATAAGCGCAATCCTTCTGTCCCTCTCTCTAAAACATACTCAACTCAGGGGTGTGGAACTCATTTGTTATGAGGGCCGGATCTGACATAAATGAGACCTTATCGGGCTGGGCCACGTGTGTGTCATAAAATGTAGAAGAAGAAGAGGAGATTGGATTTATACCCCGCCCTTCACTACCCAAAGGAGTCTCAGAGCGGCTTACAATCTCTTTTCCCTTCCCCTCCCAATGGACACCCTGTGAGGCAAGATGCTACGGGACTGGGATCTTTGGCAAGAGGGACGCTCTCCAGCTTCGGCGTGACCACTTATTGTTCTGAGGGTAGAAGGCCCCTGTGCCCTATAGCATATGAATTTATCAAGAGGTTCCTTTGGGTCGTTCCTCAAAGCCCTTCTTAATTCATACTTCCTTTTCCTTCCACTGGCTGCGATCCGTGCAAAGGCATTTCCCGCTGTCCCAATAAAGCCAGCATAGCGCCTCACGCGGCGGCCTCCTCAGTCGGTCACTGCCGGCGCGTGCCCCAGAAAGGTTGTCTGAAACTAATTGAAATGTTAAACCTAATTTGAAAAATGGAGGCCGTCAGAGAAGTGCCAAGGAAAGGTCAGGAGTCGTACCCAGGGTTCCTGTTATCCTTAATGGGGAAGGACCGCTGGAACTCTTCAGTTACCCACATTACTCACGATACAGACGGGTTTAATTAGCAAGATCAGCTAAATGTCTGGGGCCTGTCAAAGGACTAGCAGTTTTCTCCTGGATGAATTATGGGCCGTTTTCTCAGTTTCCATCTGCCGCTGTTGGGTACTTAGGAAACAGCTTCAACCGCAAGCAGTCCCCCCCCCCAGTCTGAATCGGAGCGATGTGGACTCACAGGGACACGTGGTGTCATTAGATTTGGGTGGGTCACCGTCTTGGGCTGAAGCAATAGAACAAAGTTTAAGTCCAGTGGCACCCTGAAGACCAACAAAATTGAATTCTGGGTATAAGAGGCTGCCATCACACACACAAAGTAATCCACTTTCAATCCACTTTCCAACTGGATTTTGCCAGTTCACACAGTAAAAATCCAGTTGGAAAGTGCACTGAAAGTGGATTATTTCACGTGTGTGACTGCAGCCAAACGTTGTTCTACTAAAAGGGGAGTAGGGAGGGGGTAAGTCCACTGCCAGCCAACCTTTCTCCAGGAGAAAAATGCCTTTCTTCAAAGTAGGGTTGCGAACTCCAGACTGAGAAGATCCTAAAAATGCCTGCTTTGGCGGGTGGACTCAATCCCTCTATGAGGGAGGGGCCGTGACTCAGCTATAGAGCCTCTGCTTGGCGTGCAGAAGGTCCCAGGTTCAATCCTCGACATCTCCAGTTAAAAGGAACAGGCTGGAGAACTGTAAAGAGGGGTTGTGGGCTTGTGGCTCAGCGGCAGAGCATCTGCTTGACATGCAGAAGGTCCCAGGTTCAATCCCCGGCATCTCCAGTTAAAAAGGACCAGGCAGGAGGTGACGGCAATGACCTCCGCCTGAGACCCTGGAGAGCTGCTGCCAGTCTGAGTAGACAGTACTGACCTTGATGGACCAATGATAGGCAGCTTCATGCGTCTATAAGCTCTCGTGCCCTCGTTCTACGTTAATGTTGTTCATTCCCACTAGGGAACTACAGGAAGAGAGTGGACTGACGGTGGACGTCTTGCAGAAGATGGGCCGGATCACTTTTGAGTTCGTGGGTAACACGGAGCTGATGGAAGTCCACATCTTCCGAGCCGACAGTTTCCAAGGAGAGCCCACGGAAAGCGACGGTAAGAATGTGGTTGAAAAGCGGCAGCATCATAAAAATGGCCACCCCCAGGTCTGCCCCTGGCCCAGGTTGAGCCAAATAATTTGACTCGTACATCTTGCGTTTGCTTGTTTATCTATATCCCACTTTTCTTCCCAGTTGGGACTCAAAAGCAGCTTTAGAACGTCATTCTCCCCTTCTTCGTTCTCCCACAACGTCCCTTTGAGGTAGGCCAGGCTGAGAGTTTGGGATGGGCCCCCAAGTCACCCAGAGGGCTCCCATGGAAGAAGTCAGAATTCAAACTTATGTCACCCTGGGTCCTACTCTGCCATTCTGCCCACTACACCCTGCTGTCTCTCAGCGCAGCATGCTGGTCGTGGGATAGACCCTCTTGTCCCCCGTCCCGACCAGATTGACTGGGGCCACAGGCAGTTCCCACCTTCCTCTGGAACTGTGCTACCCAACCCATAGTGGAGACAGAACACTCACTACATACAAGGTTGCATCATGTGCTAAAATTAGGCACCTAACAAGTTCACTCTATCATCAACCAAAAGGGAGACTACAGTGAAGAAGTCTGAAGGCGATTGAGACTGGGAAAGAACCCTAAGGGTAAACATAGTTCACTGGAGACCAAGGCCGAGTTAATTCATGCCGTGGTGTTCCCCATTACTGCGTATGGGTGTGAAAGTCGGACAGTGAAGAAAGCGGACAGGAAGAAAGTTGATTCTTTTGAAATGTGGTGTTGGAGGAGAAAGTAGATTCCTTTGAAACGTGGTGTTGGAGGAGAGTTTTATCACGGACTGCCAAGTTTTATCATGGTTCCAGATCAAATCCAGCCTGAACTCTTCCCAAGAAGCTAAAATGACTCGACTTTATGTAAGCCACCCTGAGCCCACCTTGGCGGGAAGGGCCAGGGTGTCAATCGAACTAACAAACAAACAAACAGACTGAGGCTATTGGACTTCAGCCACAGCATGAGAACACAAGAGTCACCGAAAAGTACAGAAATGCTAGGAAAACCTGAAAACAGCAGGAAAAGAGGAAGGCCCGACAGGAGATAGACGGACTCCCATCAAGGCAGACACGGCCCTCCGTTCGCAGGACCTGAGCAAGGCTTGTTAACGATCTGACATTTTGGAGGTCATAAATTCATAGGGTTGCCTTGCCAGAAGTTGGAAACAACTTGATGGCACTTGACACTAGAGATGTAACATTTCCGGAAATTTTGAACCTCAGAAAAAACCCAGAGTTTTTTCCAGTTTTTTCGGGGGGGAAATGGAAATTTTCGGAAAAATTGAAAAAAATGCTACATTAGCACTTCTTTTTTCTTTTCTAGATTGAAAGTCATTCTTTTACTTTAGGAACATAAAATATGACTATGGGCATTTTTACTTGGCATGAAATTATCACAACTAGCATATTAAAAATATAGTGTATCCAAACAATTATTACGAACAGAATACCCACCCACATGCAAAAACAAAACTGAAACCTTTTTTTTCCTTGTGATAATAGAACCTCCCAAAGAAAGAAATGCATCTTGTTCTTGTATTGGAGAGTTCAGATTGCAACCTAGGACTTGCTTGTCCTCAGTGCACAGAAATTAGATCAATCTGATACCATACATATTTTTTTAGAAATGATTTGAAAATATTTGAACACCTTGTTTTAAAATAGTTTATTCATCATGTTAAAATAAAATGTTCCATAATCCATTTTTTAAATTTATTTATTTTTTCAATTTTTCCAATTTTTCAGAAAAAAAAACAAAAAAAGCTTCAGGAAAAAAAAACGGGGAAAACATTTCCCCCCCGAACTTTTCCGGAACTTTTCCGGGCCTTCACATCTCTACTTGACACACACATAGCAAGTTCACCCAAGTGTCCTTCTTGCACAAATGGCTTGGTGTGGGATTAGGGTTGCCGGGTCTGACCTATGGGGACTTTGGGGGTGGAGCCAGGAGCAAGGGTGTGACACCACTTTGTGATGTCACATCCTGTGATTTCACTTCCAGGTCCACCCCCCACATCGAGAAGGTTCCTGTGATTCCATGGTAGGAGCCTGTGCTTCTAACACAGGGGTTGCTCTCAACTCATTCTCCACCCAAGCCACACACACCTAGGCCATTTAGGGTTGCCAGGTGAGGCTGACAGGCCAGTGGGGGACTTTTCAAGAGCCTCCTGGAGAGGAGAGGGAAGAAGCACGATTCAGCTCCAGAGGGAGTTCTGGCCATCACATTGAAAGGGACTGCATTCCTTTTAAATGCCTTCCCTCCATTGGAAATAATGGAGGAAGGGTGCACCTTCTTTTGGGGCTCATAGATTTGGACCCCCTGGTACAATCTTTTTGAAATCAAACTCTGGGTATCTGTGGCTGGGGGGGGGGGCTGTTTTTTGAGGAGAGGCACCAGATGCTATGCTGAAAATTTGGTTCCTCTACCTCAAAAAACAGCCTCCCCCAGAACCCCAGATCGATTTTCCAATGTAGCCTATGGGGACCATTGACTATAATGGTCCCCATAGGGTATGGAGCCAAAAAATTCAACAATCCCAAATATTTTCCGAATTCCAATACCATACTGATATTAGGATTTAAGGAATATCAGGAAATACTGATAGTTTTTGAGTTCAATATACCCGAACCTGAAAAATACCCTTTTTTTGCACACCCCTAGTATCTACCCGCTTATACACAGTTGAGAGCTCTGTATATCAGCCAGCATAATTCAAAAATTTAGACCTTGCTTCGGGAACATCTTGTGAACTGGAGACAACCAGGCCCAGATGCATCCAACTTTTGATTTTTCTCCCTCTACAATACTGTCAGACTTCCCTCCTTCCTCCATCATCCGGTTCGCATGAGTAGACCACCGACTTGTTCAAGGTACAGCCTTAAACTGAGTCATACCGTGGTAACTTAAGCAAAGGGATCAGCTAATAGGAAGGTAGAAGCCCGACCCTACCCAAAGCCTGCAGCTAATCTGGATTGGGGGACCTTTGCCTTGTTGCATCTCGGTCACCCTTTGGAGTCCAGGAGCAGAGCTAGCACCAAGGACCGTCCCTTGCAAAACCTTTGTGGGGCAGGAGATCCAGAAGAAAGAGAGTTGGTCTTTATACCCCACTATCCACTACCCAGAGGAGTCCCAGAACAACTTACAATCTCCCTTCCCTTCCTCTCCCCACCAACAGACACCCTCTGAGGTAGGTGGGACTGAGAGAGTTCTGAGGAAACTGTGACTGACCCAAGGCCACCCAACTGACTGCATGTGGAGGAGTGGGGAATCAAACCAAGTTCTCCAGATCAGAGTCTGCGGCTATTAACCACCACACCACAGATGGCTCTCTACACCATGCTGAAAACACCCCTTCCCCACCTGCTCCAGGTATCAACAGGCCAAACATCTAAATTCTGACAGTTAACAGTGAGGCTGGATCTGGAAAATATTTCCAGAGAGGGAACTGGAAGTTAGTTTAGGAAGAAGAGATTGGATTTATACCCCACCCTTCATTCGGAGTGGCTTATAAACCCCCTTCCCTTCCTCTCCCCACAACAGACACCCTGTGAGGTAGGTGGGGCTGAGAGAGCTCTTTCGAGGACTGCTCATGAGAGAACAGCTCTGAGAGAACTGTGGCTTGCTCAAGGTCACCCAGAAGCTGCATGTGGAGAAGTGGGGAATCAAACCCGGTTCTCCCAGATTAGAGTCTGTGCTCCTAACCACTACACCAAGCAGAGGTCCCCAATCCTTTTCAGCCCATGGGCACCTTTGGAATTCTGACACAGCATGGTGGGCACAGCCACAAAATGGCTGCTGCTGCAGGAAGTGGAGCCAACCACAAAATGGCCGCCACAGCTTACCTTCAGTCATGCGGCTAAGACCCTTGTGCTGTGGTGGCAGCTGCCGCCCAAGCCACGTTATTTTAAAAAATCTGTACAGCCAATCAAATCTCCAGTGGCCAACCAGAAGCCTTGCTGAGCAAACGAACCAGCTGACCCCACCCGCTTTCTAAGAACACCAGGGAAAGTGTTAGCAGTGCCATGGTGCCCACAGTCCCCATGTGGGGAACCCCATGTGGGGGTCCTAGGCCATATGGAGTAATGTGCTTTTCCCACATGTGCAACATCATCATCATTGAACTGGTTTAAGAGAAATGTCACTTCCTAGGCCATATTGAGTAATGTGCTTTCCCCACATGTGCAACATCATCATCATTGAAAGAACCCAAAAATTACCCTAAGATGCCCAGTTGAAGCAATTTTGGAGCGGTGATCCAAGTAATGATGCTTTCTTTCAGTCTTCGATTGTCTGGGGGGGGGGGGAACCCATCTTCATCCTCCACGCTAATTTCCTTAATCCGTTATGTTCATTTCTTCCCCTTGCAGAAATGCGTCCGCAGTGGTTTGAACTGGACCACGTGCCCTTCAAGGACATGTGGCCAGATGACAGCTATTGGTTTCCTCTGCTCCTCCAGAAGAAGACGTTTGTCGGTTATTTTAAGTTCCAGGGGCAGGACACGATCTTGGAGTACACCTTGAAAGAAGCAGAAGAGGTCTAGGAGGGGAAGAACTCCGGAGGTCCTCCAAGTGGGGACACACACTTGCATCGGGGGCGATGAGCTATTCTGGTCGCCCCGAAGCCTTCATCTCCTGCTGAGAGCAGACTTCATTGTGCAACAGGCGAACGGCAGGCAGACAAACATGAAACCCAGAAAATCTACAGCAACTGGCAAACATGAAACCGTTCCTCTGTGTGGTGAAGAACTTACAGATGGCACTTCTTTTGTATGACCAGTTGCCGCTTTCCGTCTCGGTTGTGTTAGTGTGTGCGGCTCTCTTTCAGGGCCTGACCCCCAACGTTTAGATTTTTTCATCCCCCCCCCAAGCATCGCGAGCCCTTTGCTGTCAACGAGAACCTCCTTAGTCAATATTTTCCCCCTGAATCTTGTTTTTGAAAGGGGACTGTACCCCCAAGTTCTCCCGTTTGCATCTCATTGGGGCAGCTTCTCTTCCAGTTCTGGCAAGAAGTGTTTCACACATGGAACCTTAAAGCGTTTCCATGCGTGGAACCTTAAATTGTTTCCACGAGGAAGCCCCCTGCCCATGCGAAACAATCCCCCAACCGCAGTGGTGTAAGCATTGGGGTGGCGGCTGTAGCTAATTCTTCGTAGCCCCGTGCATGCTGAGAACTTACTAAAAAAAGATCATATTTCAGCTCTAGTTCCCAGTATATGAGCAGCAGTCCTGTATTCCCCAGACTTTCCTAGAAGAGGGAAATTGAGCCAGTTGTGTCTTCTCCTATTGCTGCAGGACAGTGATGGAGAAACCTACATCTTGGCAAATGTGGACCGTCTGTACAGACTCCAAGAGGAAGCCTCTGTCCTGCAGATGACAGAATATGCCACTTGGTAAAAACTAAGTTACGGTTCAATGGAACACTTGAGCAGTCACTGTTCTTGATATGGGCCTTAACCGCACAGTGGAATTGTGTTTTAAGGTCTTTTACGGGAATGCCGGTTGTCGTTGATAAATACGGAGAGGGGGCAGGACACTCAGTCTGAAAGTTTATTACAAATGAAACTAGCATTTTGCCCTCAGTTTACTAACCCAATATGTTATAGTTGTTATTCCTTATGTAGATTCTTAAATGACTGAAACCATAAAGGGTCTCTGTGGGGGGTTAATTTTGTCACCTGGACAGTTTCCAGATGGAAAGCGTGCAAGAAATATTCCAATCATATACCAGACGTCTGCCTACGTTCACTTGCCCACCTTTGCTAACACCAGTTTCAGAGTAACAAAGACATTTATAACTGAAATATTTCTTTAATATGAGTTTTGTGCATTTTTTTTACAAATAAAGATTTTTTTTGTAACATTTGTTGACAGAAGTTTTGGGGGGGTGTAACAACTTGTAAACATTTTGTTGTCTACCAGCTGTAGCGATATGTTCTCTCCAATTCCTGCAGTTTGGTAAAGTGCTTCATCAAAATACAAAAAAAACCAAAACCCCAAACACACACTCCTATTTGTGCAAAGCACTGAGGGAAGAAAACACCAAGTTGCGAACCTTGGCTATTCCAAAATTTGCAAAAATCCAAAGAGGTTAGAACGAAAAATAAGAAAGAATCTGCTCTTCTATTTTCCACATAGCAAAGGTATTGCCTGAAGAGCAGAGGCCAGGACTTTCAGCATTTCAGAATTTGCCTACAGAAAGTTCTTTTTTGAGGTCAACTTTCCCCCCTTTAAGGCAGTGGACAAGTGTGAGGTTACCAGGCCCCCTCCAGACCTGGTTTCCTCCAAATGGGGGTAGATAATCACCCCCACAGCTATGGAGACTGGGCCATCATAAAACCCTTTTTCTAGCTAGTAATCTTATAAACGGGGAGAGGCGGCAGCACAGTGCAGCCCAATCTTGCCAGATCTTGGAAGCTAAGCAGGGTCAGTGCTCAGACGGGAGACCCCCAAGGAAGACTCTGAAGAGGAAGGCCATGGCAATGTGGCAAACCAACTCTGCTTCTCACTTGCCTTAAAAGTCCTATGCTGTGGTCACCGGCAGTCGGTTGCAACTCGATGCCATTTACGTGTGCAATGCTGTACACCCACTTTTTCTTGGTAGGTAGAGCTGAGAGAAACAATGTTTTTGACCACCATCTTAGACACATTCATTGGAAGCTTGTCCCACCAATCCATGTGGGAGTCTCATGTGGGAGTCTCATTTCTGACTAAGGCTACAATCCTACACAAACAGATGTAAAACCCGCTGAACTCGGTGGGTTTTCTTCAGAATGTAAGTTTGTGGCATCACGGCCCCATGATCCAATGTTATACAAGCTTATTTGGAAATGAATCCTGTCAAATTCAAAAAAAAAAAGAGATTGGAGTTATATCCCGCCCTTCACTACTTGAAGGAGTTTCAGAGCGGCTTACAATCTCCTTTCCCTTCCCCTCCCCTGTGAGGTAGGCGGGGCTGAGAGAGAACTGCTGGTGAGAGAACAGCTCTGAGAAAACTTGGAACTGACCCAAGGTCACACCAGCAGTTGCATGTGGAAGAGTGTGTACTCAAGCCCGGTTCTCCCAGATTAGAGTCTGCGCTCCTAACCACCACACCAAACTGGCACTGACTTCCCAAGGAATGGAGATTTAAATCCCCAAATGCTGTGCTGTGCATTCAGGTTCAGTTCAGACCACTTAGTTCAACACTGATGCATTTAAGGACATAAAGTCATATAGAAACATGCTTCGCAAGGTTGTGCATAACGCCCTTAACGACAATTGCATATCACTCTTGAGGGTACATCGCCAAATGTTGTGTTCTCTTCCCAAAAGGCCCCCAAATCTTCCTCCATTCCCTTCTAGGCCCGTCCTTCTAGGGAGCGGCACAATTCGTTTGGGGAACAGGTAACATGCACACACCTTGCTCTCAAAAACCTGGAATGCATGTTCTCTCAGCACCCATTCCTAGTGAAACCCCTGCCTGATGAATTGGTCGAGGTGCAGCCGATGCTGTTTGCGAGCGGTGCAGAGAGAGAGAGAGTAACCAGCAGTAAACTTTAGCACACTCAGCCAACGATGTACTAACGCCGCACACAATGATCTTGTATGCCAAAGAAGAAGCATCTGTGGTTGGCAGAGCTGCTCGTGAAACACACTCGGGACACAACACAAAGTCCCTTTGCTTCGCTTCATATCCAGATCCCAAGGAAATCCAAACTGCGTTGACTTCCCACCTCCTGCCAACAACAGGTCAGAGATGGGGGGGGCTGACACCACAGTGTGGCAGGCTTGTTTGGTCTGTTGTCCAGGAAGCCACAGAGAAACAATATATCTAAACGGGGGAGGGGCTTCACTATTCCCAGGCACAAAAGAATCTATCTGCATGGCTGCATGTTGTTGGGTCCCCCACACACACCTTAAAACACACATCCAAATCCTTGTTGCTCTAGCCAAAGGAAAAAGTTAACATTTTAAAAAAACAACCCAAAAACATTATAAAAGTCTCCAAAAATATATACTGTTTTAACCTATCAAGGAAAAGGCAGTTTTGGTCTTTCTGCAGAGAAAAATACACTTTTTTTAACATTATATGGACCTACTGAGATGGCTGGGGTATGATTCCTCTTTCCTGGTGAGTTTTAGCTTATGGCCCCCAGCGGAGAAAAGAAGCACCTGATCTGTTCCTACACAGTGGAACATAAAAAGTAAGAAAAGCCCTGCTGGACCTGCCAGGGGTCCATCTAGTCCAGCATCCTGTCTCACACTGTGGCTGACCAGTTCCTCTGGAGGGACAACAGCAGGGCCTGGAGACTGAAGCTTTGTCCTGTTAAGAACATCAGAAGAGCCCTGCTGGATCTGACCAGGGGTCCATCCAGCCCAGCATCATGTCTTACACTGTGGCTGACCAGTTTCTCTGGAGGGACAACAACAGGGTAGAGAGGCTGGGGCCTTCCCCTGGGGCTTTCCCCATCAGAAGAGCCCTGCTGGATCAGACCAGTGAATGTCCATCTAGTCCAGCATCCTGTCTCACACAGTGGCTGACCAGTTCCTCTGGAGGTCTGACAATGGGGCAGAGAGGCCAAGGCCTTCCCCTGAGAAGAACCTCAGAAGATCCCTGCTGGATCTGACCAGTGAGGGTCCATCTAGTCCGGCATTCTGTCCCACACAGTGACCAACCAGTTCCTCTGGAGGGCCAGCAACAGGGCACAGAGACCATGGTCTCTCCCTGAGAAGAACATAAGAAGAGTACTAAGATCCACAGGTTGGCTGTCTCTGAATATGGAGGATCCATATAGCAACCCTGGCTAGCAGCCACTGATGGACCTGTCCACCCCGAACCTAACCCCTTCAGACTGCCCCAGAGCTGAGCCAGGTTGCAACTCTTTTTTTCAGCTGAATGGGGGGGGGGGGGGGGGGGGGAAGGCAGGGAAGGGAGACGGAAGTCATGCTCTGGAGAGGGTCCAAATCCCTGCATTCAGAAGGGACTTAACACCAAGGATGGCATACTTGTGGAGGTGTGCTGTTCAGACGGCCTTGCTCCTGCTTGGTCCCCGGAAACTAGATAACACACCTTAGATTTCCCCTCGATACAATAAACTCTCAGCTGAGCACCCTATAAAGTAAAGATGGACAAAAGGAAGTACTACTTTACACAGAGCATGGTTAAAGTGTGAAATACGCTGCCAGAGGATGTAGTGATGGTCACAGGAATAAAAAGCTTTCGAAGGGGATTAGATAGATTCATGGAGGATAAGTCTATCAATGGCTACTAGCCATGGTGATTGGGGAACCTCCACATTCAGAGGCACAAATCCTCTGAATCTCGGAGCCAGGAGGCATCATTAGGGGAAGGCCTCGGCCTCTGTGCCCTGTTGTTGGCCCTCCAGAGGAACTGGGTGGCCACTGTGTGAGAGACAGGATGCTGGACTAGATGGACCCTCACTGGTCTGATCCAGCAGGGCTCTTCTGATGTTCTGATCAGGGGAAGGCCTCGGCCTCTCTGCCCTGTTGTTGGCCCTCCAGAGGAACTAGTTGGCCACTGTGTGAGACAGGATGCTGGACTATATGGACCATTGTCCTGATCCAGCAGGGCTCTTCTGATGTTCTTTTCAGGGGAAGGCCTCGGCCTCCGTGTCCTGTGGCTGGCCCTCCAGAGGAACTGGTTGGCCACTATGTGAGATAAGATCCAACTAAGGTTGTTCGCAGTCAACGTTCACAGCAAGTTTACAAAGATGGAGTGCCTGCCTGCCCACCCCCCCAGTGATCCAACCCTGAATATGACGTGATAACGTTTTAATCGAAAGAACTAACAGTGTTTCCAAACCAGCCTCGACAATCCCTAAAAATCACATCTGTCTCCTTTCAAGCAAAAGTGAAGCTGGGTGCAAACACCTCCGATGTCAATCACGGTGTGCCACGTGAAGATATTCCCAGCCTTCTCCCACAAAGGCCACCTCCACGTTTCTGGCTCCATCTGCCACAACTGTGATCATTTATTACCCACTACTCCCCCGGCGTGTGCACACAAACCAGATATTCCGATAAAGGTTCCTTTTCCTTACATTCCACATAGCAGTAAAGATCTGAGAAGAGGAGGAATCCTCGTATTGTCCTTCCGACCTGTGTCTTGCAGCTCGAGAAAGGAAGAGGTACCAGATGCCCCTCACGCTCTAGCTGGAGAGCTTTCGACAAGCAATTTCCACCAGACACGACACCCTGACCTGGGTGGCCCAGCCTACTCAATCTCATCAGACCTCGGAAGCTAAGGAGGGTCGGCCCCGGTTAGGACTTGGATGGGAGGCTGGCAAGGAAGTCCAGGGTTGCTACGCAGAGGCAGACAATGGCAAACCACTTCCGTTTGTCTGTGCTGACCTGGATGGCCCAGGCTAGCCCAATCTCATTGCATCTCGGAAGCTAAGGAGGGTCGGCCCTGGTTAGGACTTGGATGAGAGACCGCTGAGGAAGTCCAGGGTTGCTATGCAGAGGCAGGCAATGGCAGACCTCCTCTGTTTATCTTTTGCCTGGACCTGGATGGCCCAGGCTAACCCAATCTCATCGGCTCTCGGAAGCTAAGCAGGGTCGGCCCTGCTTAGTCCTTGGATGGGAAGCTACCAAGGAAGTCCAGGGTTGCTATGCAGAGGCAGGCAATGGCAGACCTCCTCTGTTTATCTTTTGCCCAGACCTGGATGGCCCAGGCTAACCCAATCTCATCAGCTCTCGGAAGCTAAGCAGGGTCGGCCCTGCTTAGTCCTTGGATGGGAGGCCACCAAGGAAGCTCAGGGTTGCTACGCAGAGGTAAGCAAGGGCACACCATCTCTGAACGTCTCTCGCTTTGGCCTGGATGTGCAAGCTAGCTCCGTCTCATCAGATCTCGGAAGCTAAGCAGGGTCGGCCTCAGTTAGCACTTGGATGGGAGACCACCAAGGAAGTCCGGGGCTGCTATGCAGAGGCAGACCATGGCAAAACCACCTCTGCTCATCTCCTACCCTATGAGGGATCACCAAACGTTGGCTGAAAATTGAAGGCACTTCCCACCACCAGAAGACAGAAGAGCCTCTCGGCTGCAGCCTTTCCAGGAAGGTGTACACCACCAGGTGACGCAGAAAACCAGCCATGTTTCGAGCATCCCTTAAAAGCCCTCGGTCAGTAATTTGTTAAGGTCCACTTAAGACGGAAAGAGACCAGGCCGGAAGCTAGAAAATTTTCAGTGAGGGGGCACCGGGCGAACCAGTGGGGCGTGACCTCACTTAATTAAAAATAACAATAACAAAAACAATAAATAGGCTCTGGCCTGCCCCAGATCATGGGCAGTGTGTGGCGTGGCATGAATTCAATGAAAAGATTTTTTTTAAAAAAATTTAAAGCATGGAAATTTGTGGGTGTGGCTTTAAGAAGAAGAGATTGGATTTATACCCCGCCCTTCACACGGAATTTCAGAGCGGCTTGCAAACGCCTTTCCCTTCCCCTCTCCACAACAGACACCCTGTGAGGTAGGTGGGGCTGAGAGAGCTCTTTCGAGAACTGCCCCTTCAAGGACAGCTCTGACAGAACCATGGCTTGCCCAAGGTCATCCAGCAGCTGCGAGTGGAGGAGTGGGGAATCAAACCTGGTTCTCCCAGATTAGAGTCCGCGCACTTAACCACTACACCAAACTGGCTCTTAAATTTAAATTAAAGGGGGTGTTGGCCCCAAGACACCCCACTGTCGCTACAGGCCTGAAAGAGACCCAACTGGAGTGCCCCCAACGCTGCATCTCCTACCTGCCGGCTCTTTGGATTCCGAGCTGGCAAGCGGCACTGGATTTGGAGCCACCTTTGGCCCTTTGGTGACGCCCCCCATTCCTCTTTCCCGGTTGGCTGCTCCGAAAGACACAAAGCTGACAGGTCGGTTGAACAGACAGGACTGAGGATATTGAGCAATAGAAAACTTGGGACAAAGGTGTGGTCCCCGATAGAATACAGAGGAGAGAGAGTGGGGGGATTCTCTCTCTTTGTGCGGTCACATTTCCAGGCAGCCCATCAATCACAGAGCAATTCAAAGCAGCATAAAAAAATTAATAATAATAGTACAAGGATAGCCGACGGGACGATTCCTTTGAACAGTGGGACGTGCAAATCCCACGGGTCTTTCTCCCTCTCCCGGCTGCCCGGCACCACCCGTCCTAAAGCATCAACTTGAAAAGAAGGTGCCCTCCTAGGGGGCGAAGGATGACGTCGGCATGTTGCCAGATCCGACAAAGAGGCAGTTCAGTTTGGGCTTCAGTTCGTTCCACACTTTGCTCATCTGGAAGACAGGAAAGGACACAGAGCGGTTGCTCGGTTAAGAGGGTGATGTGCTGGGGGGTGGGATCACACAACCGAATCGGTTTTGGGGAGGGACTGTGGCTCCGTGGCTCTACTTGGCATGCAGAACGTCCCAGGTTCAGTCCCTGGCATCTCCCGACCAGGATGCACCAAGAAGCCCATCTCGTCAGATCTCGGAAGCTAAGCAGGGTTGACCCTGGTTAGTACTTGGATGGGAGACCAGCAAGGAATACCAGGGTTGAGACGCAGAGGCAGGCAATGGCAAACCACCTCTGATCACCTCTTGCCTTGAAAACCCTATTGGAATGGGTTGGCTTTGGGAGCCCTTGACGCCGCCACCACCACCCCACATCAAATGGTGCAACCTTTCCTGAACTTGTTGTAGACTTTCCAGGTCGTATGGCCGTGGTCTTGGCATTGTCGGACCTGACGTTTCGCCAGCAGCTGTGACTGGCACCCTCAGAGGTATAACACAGAAAGATGGCGTACTCTCTGCGTCAAGGTGAGAAGAAAAATGGTAGGCAGGTAATTTATATCTACTCAGGAAGGTGGGGTAGGGCTGAGTCATTATCATTCAACAGCCAATCCATATGCAAAAGAAGCTCCTCGGGAAAGCTCCTCCATTAGCATGTCACAGCCTGGGGAACTCCTACAGGATAATGACTCAGCCTTACCCTACCTTTCTGAGTACATATAAATTACCTGCCTACCGTTTTTCTTCTTACCTTGACACAGAGAGATGTCATCACACCATGGAAATCATTCGGGGGTTGTTTGGGGGCAGGGTTTTTCCCGCCGGCCAGCTGGCCGGTGGCAGGCAGAAGCCCGAAAACCAGGGACCTGGGCAGTGGCAAACCTACTCCACCCTCTAAAGCAGCCATTTTCTCCAGCAAGAGTCCAGTAGCCCCTTAAAGACTAACAAAATGTGTGTCAAGGGATGAGCTTTCATGAGTCTTTCAGGTGCTCCTGGTCTCTTGCTCTTTTCTACTGCTGCAGACAGACTAACATGGCAAACCCATCTTGGAGATCAGCTGCAATTCCGGGAGATCTACTGGCTCCACTTGGAGGCCGGCAACCTTAGCTGATAAACCGTTCGTCCGACATGCTGTGGGATGAGGGGGCGACTAGAACGGCAGGCTCACCTCCTTGTGGCCTTGGATCTGGGAGTTGACGAAAGCCCCCAGGATGTGAGAGGTGACTGGCAGGTAAATGTGGATCAATTGGGTCTCTTGGTGCAGGCAGTAGAGGGAGAAATAATTCCGCAGCTCCATCGTCAGGATGGCGTTCTCTTGCTGAGAGAGGAGGGAAAACACGAATGGGTTATCTCCTGGGGGGGGGGGCGCTTGGAAGAGGACAAGATAAGAACACAGACAGCAGGACAGCTTATCTGTGGAGCGGCTGCATTTCTGGGACACAAACATCCAACAAAAGTGAAAGCCCTTTTTAAAACGATTTTTCATTACCCCAAACAAAAAGACATCAAAATATTAGAATAGATGAATTTATTTAATAAAGAATTTTTTTTTTAATTGCATGTTTCCCAAAGGCTCATGGGATTGCTTTTGAAAGACTCACTGTGACCTAGGTGCCCTACAGCAGGACTGGGCTAGCAGAAAGGGGGATTTGCTGGAGAAGTCCTGAAGGTGCCACTCTTAAGTGCCCTTCTAAGCTTTCTTGCCCTTAAGTGCCCTTCTACGCTATCAACATCAACAGCCACGATGGGAACTGACTGACTGCTTGCCGGATGCTGTTCATGCCTGCCGCTGTATATGAACTGTTTTTAGCACTAGTTCTGTTTTAGCTGTGTAGTGTTTGCGTAAGCCGCCCTGAGCCTGTTACGGCAGGGTAGAAATCCAATAAGCAAACAAACAAACACTCAGAAGGCCATTAAATGTCCTCGGAGCTGTTTTTTCCCTAGGAACTGACAGCGCTCGAAAGGCTAGAACCAGGCTGGGAGCCTCCACCTTTGAAGACAAGCATTCAGGTTAATTTAGGCCCCGATCACACGCAGAATTTGCCACGGGATACTCACAAATGGCAGCCGGATTTTACTGGCATGATCAAACGGACACATCTGGCCAGCATCCCGCACCCGTCAGCAACCCGTAGCAGTCAGCCAAAGAAGCGGAGTTTAAAAGTACCCGGGAAAATCCACAATCAACTGGTTGTGACGGGCTGCAGCCGGACGCTCTCCATGTGATCGCTCCAGCGCACTCCTCTAGCATCCCTGCTTCCTGGTTGGAGCGCGCTGGAAACACCCACTGATCGAAACAACGCCGTCGCGTCTGATCACGTTGGGGCGCGTCAAATTGCGATGGCGCGAATCGCCATGCCTCCCTCCCCCCACGTTATCCGGCACGTGTGCCTGGGACCTTAATTAACACTAATTTAACTGCTCCCTTAAAAATTTAAATGCCCCCTGAACAAAAAATATCCTGGCTACGGGCCTTGTCCTTTGACAGAATTCTGCGCTCTTTGGGTCCCAAATTGTCGAATGGTCTCCAGCCCTGGGATGTCCCCAAACAGAAATAAATAAAAATATAAGAACATATGAAATTATTATAAAGATTGGGTTTTTTTAATTGCATGTTTCCCAAAGGCTCATGGGGATGCTTTTGAAAGTCTCACCGTGACCTACCGTGTTTCCCCAAAAATAAGACACTGTCTTATATTTATTTTTTCTCAAGAAGAAACACTAGGGCTTATACCACAAATGCATAGAAATCCTGCTAGGGCTTATTTTGGGGGTAGGTCTTATTTTCGGGGAAACAGGGTAGGTGGTAGTCTACAGGAGGACTGGGCTAGCAGAAAGGGGGATCGTTGGAGAGGTATTGAAGGTGCCACTCTTGAGTGCCCTTCTAAGCTTTCTTGCCCTGTGGAGGGGAACTCAAAAGGCAACTAAATGCCCCCTCTGAGCTGTTTTCTCCCCTAGGAACTGACGCGCTCACTGCCCTGTCCCTTAAATGGGAGGGCTAAAACCAGGCTCGGAGCCTCCCCCTTTAAAGACAGGCATTCAGATTAATTTAATTAACTGCAATTTAACTGCCCCCTTAAAAATTTAAATGCCATCCGGAAGAAAAAACCCTGGCTACGGGCCTGATTCTTTGACCGAATTCTGTGCTCTTTAGGTCCCAAAATTGCAGAACGGCATCCAGCCCTGGGATGTCCCAAAATGGCGAGCACCAACCCGCCCGTTCATACCTCCACGATCCGGGACTCCAGCTGCTCAACGGTCTCCGGCTCCTTGTTCTGGACAGCAGCGCTCATCATCTGCCGCTTCATCAGGCTGTACTTGTGCAAGGCCCTCTGGTGCTTGTGCAAGACGCCCTTCTCATGCCTCTCGCACAAGTCCTGGTGCGGCAAAGATGAAAATACAGGCCATCGTTATCCTATCCCCACCATGGTCTTCTGTTTGCAGAGGCAGATGGGTAAAGAGGAAACATGTACAGGCAGCGCAAATGCACTTTGGGCATTTCAATTTTATTTTTAAAGCTTCTAGTCCTTAAGACCATCATATGTTTCTGAGCCATACCTAGCAAAAGCTCACAGCCAAGCTGAACAGGGTGGTCCAGCTTGAGCACCTTGGGTAGTTTTGGTCCTGCCCCATGAATGTTAGCTGCACAATGTGTCTTTTGTAGGACTGGCAAAAAGCATCCATACAACTATTAAGAAAGCTATCCCCCTTTTTGGAAGACTTCATGCAAGGAGAAGCGGGTTTATAATTCTAGAAACTCCCGTTGGGGCTTGACTTTTAAAACACTGATGCAAAATTGTCTGGTAGTTATCAATCTGTATGTACTGAATGTTCTTGCTTATTGAATGTAATGAATATTTATATCTGACTAGGATGAAATAATGATACACTATGCACTTTACTAAATGATGACCATAAATAGAACACATTAGTTTGTTAAAAGGTTTTTCAAGTGTATATTTATTTGTTACCAAGACTAGTGGAAGCAGAAAAAACCGCTACCCACCAAAGAATCTATTTACTTATTATTTCATTTTTGTGTGTGTTAAATGCTGTGAAGTCGCTTCTGACTTACGGCAATGGCAGGAGCTGGAAAAGATTCTTAAGTCTAAATATGTGTCGCTGGCTACCAACATTGAGTTAATTCATGCCGCAGTATTCCCCCGTTACTATATACGGGTGTGAAAGTTGGATAATGAAAAAAGCTGCCAGGAAGAAAGTTGATTCCTTTGAAATGTGGCATCGGAGACACATCAGTGGGGTTCTAGATCAAATAAAACCAGAACTCTTTCTAGATGCTAAAAGGACTAGACTGAGGCTATCATACATGATCACATTATAAGAAGACAAGAGTCACTGGAAAAGACCATAATGCTAAGGAAAGAAAAAGAAGAGAAGAAGAGATTGGATTTATACCCTGCCCTTCACTACCCAAAGGTGTCTCAGAGTGGCTTACAATCTTCTTTCCCTTCCCCTCCCCACAACAGACACCCTGTGAGGGAGGGGGGGCTGAGAGAGCTCTTGACAGAAACTGTTCTTTTTCAAGGACAGCTCTTATCAGAACTACAGCTTGCCCAAGGTCATCCAGCCAGGTGCAAGTGGAGGAGTGGGGAATCAAACCCGGATATCCCAGATTAGAGTCCGCGCACTTAACCACGACACCAAACTGTGTGCACCAAACCACTACAGCAAAAGTTGAAGGCAACAGGAAAAGAGGAAGACCCAAAATGATATGAAGAAGAGGAGATTGGATTTATAACCAGGGCCGACTCACCCACTAGGCGAACTAGGCATTCGCCTAGAGCGCGAGCCGGCCCTTAGGGCGCCAAAGTGCTCTCCTGCAGGGCGCCAGCACCAAACTGTGCCTCGCGCCCTTCCCGCCACCGGGACCGCCACCGGTGGTCTCCTGCAGGGCGCTGGCGGAGGCAGAGGAGGAGATGGTGGAGGAAGGCGGGGAGGTGAGCTCTCACTCCAGGCACCGTCTCACTGCTTGGCCCCCCCGGCTCCAGCGGACGTTGGCTCAGGCTTGCCCCGTCGGTGGCGCTTCCTCCTCGCCCCACCGCCCCGCACCCGGGATGTCCTTCCTGCAGCTGGCGCCGAACTGTGCCTCCCCCCCTCCATGCCCTCTCCAGGAATTCCCACCCGGGAGGTGGCAGCGACTTCCTTGGAAGTCTGGGAAAGAGCTCTGCCCATGCTTAGGGGCACTCTCCTGCCTCAACCCTGAGCAAGCCCTTCGGATCAGCTCCGAGGCCGGAGGGGGGGGAGTTTCTGAGCTGCGCCCGTCCCTGCTCCCCCGCGTGGGCCATGGCGATGCGCGCCCGCGCGCCCCCAAGGCTTAATGCGCCAGGCTGCCCGGCTGCACCATGGTGGTGGCCCAAGAAGCCCCTCCGGCCCCGGGCGCACCATCCCACCACCCTGGCTCTGCCCAGCAGCGAAAGCGGCAGCAGCTCTGCGCCAAGCCCTCCCCTCCCTTTCTCGCCTTGCCGCCCCCAGCCTGCAGTGGGAGGGAGGCTGGGAGATCCCCCCCATGGCGCA